TTTCCCCCCCCTGCTGCCATGCAGGCTCCAGTCTCTTCTCTCCTTGGTAGTGGAGTTTCAGATCCCTTTTTTAAAAAAAAAAAATTATTTTATGTTCTGTAAAGGGCCTGGGGGCTGCAGCGCCAGGCCCTGGGGCTGCTTGCACCCTGCTCGCGCCTCCCCGCGCTGGGGACCTCTGCGGCATCCGCCTCCCACCGTGAGGGGGGGGGGGGCAAGGGCGGCCGTACTACCTCTGTACGGGCCTCTGCTTGCTCTGCCACGTCCTTCTGGGCCTGGCAGGGGCCCCGCGTGCTGGGAAGGGGAAGGTCACCGCAGCGGGAGGAGGTGTCCCCTCCTTGCTGACCTTGACGCTTGTGGCTGCCGGAGTGACCTTGGCTCTGCGCAATCACTTTGACCCTTTGCGTGCTGGGCTGCTGCAGAGCCAGCTCTGGCCCCTGGCACGGACATGGATAGGGGATCCGTGCGGGCAATGTGGTGCAGCCTTTGGACAGGGCTGGGGGGTGGGTAGGAGGGGAGGGGCTCATGATGGCCAAGCTGGGGAGCAGTGGTGGGTGTTGGAAGAGGCTGACCTTGGCTGGGCATCACTGCCCTGGCTCTGAACTGCGCCGTTCACCCCTGCAGCGGGCACAGGATGCTCCCACGGGAAGCCAGTGGCTTTGTGGGGGAAGGGGCACAACTAGGGAAGGGGAGCCCAGAGCAAGAGCCAGGCTGCAGCCGGGATTCGGAGCAAAAGGCAGCCACCCACCCTGCACCATCTCCCCAGGGCTGCCTGGCAGGAGTAGCCTGGGGAGGGGGCAGGACCAGCACCAGCCTTGGGGGCAGGGTCCCTCTGCAGAGGGGGTGGAGGAGGGGAGCTGCCCGTGAGACTTCTTCCAGGCAGCGGTGGCTGCATCTGGGCTGGGGGAGGGCAGCCTGGAGCAGGGCTGGTTTGGATTAGGCGCCCGTGTCTGCGGGATGGATTCTGGGCATTCCAGGCCTCGCGCCTGGGGGGGCCGGTTCCTGCCCGGGCTGGCGTTGCAGCAGCGCGACTGGGGTGGGGGGCCGGCACTAGGAGGGAAGATCTCCGCAGGGAGCGGAGGTGCAACGCTGCACCTCCAAGTGACCCTGGCAGCAAAGACCCCTGGGATCCTCCCTCTGCAGGGGACGGCAGCCCGCGCTCCCTTCTGCCATCAAGCCAGCCCCTCCATCTGCCCCCCCACCCCAGGTTGTTGACGGGGCCTGTGTCTCAGGAAGCCTTGCCTGAGCCGAGCGGAGCTGGCAGCACCTGGGGGGGGCAGGAAACCACGCCTCTCATTCATGCTTCTCGCTTGCTCGTGCCTGCGTCATTTCTCTCTCCTGACAATAGCGGGGAGATCTGCGCTGGCTTCCTCTGGGGGCAGGGAGGGGGGAAGTGTCCTGTGATCCTTTTCCCCCATCACCACCCTTGAGGAAATGGTTGTGGGTGTGGGGTGCTGCAGCCCGAGGGCCGGTGGGGCTAGGAGCATTGCCTCTGCAGCTCTTGAGTCGTGCCCACCCACTCAGAAAAGCTGGCAGGGAGAGTAGGGGCTTCTCACTAGGCAGGCAGACCCTCCCCTGCCCCTGAATGGTGCTGGGCCCTTAGGGAAAGGGGCAGGGGGCAACATCCTGGCCTCCCAGCTGCAGGGCAAGCCCCCCAGCACGAATGGGGGGGGTGGGGGTCCAACTGATTTCCCTGTGGTGGAAGGTTTCTTTGGTCTGTGGTGGTGCTTTGTCCTTCCCCTACGCTTGGAAAGCCCTGAGCAGGAGCTGCCACCTTGTCCAGGCTCCAGCTGCCTGCTGCAGCTGGCGCTGGGGCTCGAGGCCTGTTCTGGGCTGGGGGAGGTGCTGCCTCCCTGCTCTCCCCTCCACCCCCTCACCCATTCCCTGTGGGATCTGCTCTGGAAGGAAGCGGAGGATCTCGTGGGCCCGGGGTCCTGCGGGGGGGGCACTGCCTGGCACCTGGTGCACCTCCCAGCTGGGGCAGAGACTCTTCTGCCGCCCTGTCCTGTCCTGTCCTGTCCTGTCCCTGTCCTTTTCCCCATCCTCGGCAGGGCGGGGGGAGGTTACCCGGGGCCAGGCTGGCGCAGGGAGGGAATGCGGCGTGCGGTGAGTCACTGGCGTTTCTCAGAACCGGCAAGCGCTGCCGTGTCTCCGGGGCTGGAGCCGGAGCCGTTCCATGAGTTTCCCCTCCCAGGTCTCCAGGGCTT